TGGACTAGGTGGAAAACATGTTTAACAATAACATTTAATATAGAAATAACTCCCTTCCCCATCCTCATGTTACAAATCAGTAAGTCTTACACTTCAGTGAATTTTAGGAACCCTGTTTTGACTTATTTTGGACATGTTGTGGCCCATATATCTCAACTTCGGTTTATAAAAACTGAGATTCATAGAAGTTAAATGTACTTATCTCGTGTAAGTGATAAATTAGTTATGAGAGAGAACTATCTCAGATGCAGTAAAAGCGCGTTTGTAAGTCCAGTTTGTTCGTTAAGTCCAACAAAGTTAACCTAGGTACCCAGCTAACACAATCAGCTATATAGTACTTCATTGGAATATGGAATAGGTTTATAATACTTTTCACACAGATACTCCATAGAAAACAAACACAAAAATAGAACATTTTTAATCTTAAAGTACAGTACCTTGAAAAGCACAGTGGTACAGTACAACGGCTGGCATAGGAAGCTGGCATCAAGTGAACAGGCAAGAGTCTTGACTGGTGGAGGGAGAGGAGGTGGGAGATGGCAGAGCCAAAGGGTAGATGGCAATAGGAAATGGAAAGCAAGGTGCAATTTCACTCATGCCTGATGGTGATGGAACACACATTAGCATTTTTGAAAGTTCACAGACTTTAAGGCTTTTATGTATGGGACTTACTGTACCTGACCCTCATTGTTCTCTCTGCAGCCTAAAGGATAAAAACATTTTTATGGCAAAGGTCAGAGTTTTCCAAGTGTGTTATGCCAGTCTGTTTTACTGCTCTGTGGGGCAAAAGGGCTTCTTCAGATTAAGCTGAATACTTCCTTTTGGAAGTTCACAATGCACCTTAGCACTTCAAAGATGCTAAAAAAAAGTTCTGAAGTAAGGAAAAGTAAAGACTTGTTTAATTCTGCATTTTCTAAAACATTGGGAAAACTCTTTGGAAATGCTGGCCTAGGGATTTTGGGGGGAGGGGGGTTTTGGGGGAGAGGTTGATATTTGTTTTAAATTCTTTTTCATTGGATTGTTAATTCTCTCTGTTGTATTCAGCATGACTTCTTTCTCCCATAGTTGGATATGCTACAATCACTGAAGCTTATTTTAAGCCAGTTGGACCCTCTAATTGAGATTGGTCATGTCAGCTATTAGCAGGAGCTCTCCGAGAAAGGTGATTCTGGGAAAATGACTTATCAGCTTTCTAGGACCATTTGCATCCTGTGGGCCTCTCCCAGTCCCTGAGGCCCTCCCATTCCCTTTCCTGTCTATCATCCAAAGGTTACATTTCATCATGTTTTATGTAGCAGATAGTCAAAGCTTGCCCAGAATGAAAATATCCCTGAAGAGTTTAAGACTGTGACTAACTCTCACTTCTAGTGTCTAAAGGCAGCAGATTCAATTAAGAAATAAATAACAAGATACTGTGTTCCATTTGGCATGAGTTTTTGGTTACCTAAGAAATTGTTTCCTGAGAATTTCGAGAAATATGGCTTTAGTAACTAGTGACTCCTAGGATTTGGGATTGGGGACACAGAAGGGATTTAAGGATTATATCTGATCCAGAAAAAGTCTCTCCCATCAAGTCTTTCCAAGGCCTGTGTACTTTAGTATCAGAGCTCTAATAGGAGATATGAATGTCACCCAAAGCAGTTCATCTTGAAGGGGATTTCCATTGACTAGGAGCTGCCAGAAAGAGACACTGTCCCTAAGTCCTGAAGACTTTTTTATCTCAAGTCACTTCATCAGAGACCCCAGCTGTCCTGGTGCTAATTATGGTGGCAGATGGCCAAGCATCAGTATCTCAACTGTGACTTCTCTATGCTGGGTGTTCCTGTGTCTTCACTGGGGCTGGCGAGTTTTTCTAACCTTTCTGTGACTACTTTATAGAGTATCTAATTGTGCTAATCATAAAATTGAGCTTTTTTTTTTTTTAATCATTTTTGACCTGGTTTAAATCTCAAACAGACCAGTGTAAAAATGTTTTCTGTCCCTGCAAACTTTGTGAAATTCTCTGATGAAGATAATTCTCGTGTGTGTGTGTGCACACTGTGCGCGTGCACACGCACACACATGATGAAGAGAGAATAGTCAGCTTCATCTTATTTATGTGATGGAGTGAGAACAAGTTAACTTTTTCCATTTCTGTGGACGCTCTGGCTTTTCTTCATCTGGACGCAAGTCTCCGTTCCTGGTTTGCTTCTTCAGCACACTTTGTGCTGTGTTAGTAAGTTTACTCTGCAGTCATTAGAAATCAAAAAGCAAAACAACAAAATGAAGCAACGTGGAACTTCAGGAATGAGTAAAGAAGGAAGTGAGAAGAGGACTACCACAGGAGTGACACTTTACCAGCACTTTCTGTCATCCACCATTACGTCCATATTCAGAGCTCATGTTTTTAATATTTTTTTTCTCATTTTGGTAAAGGCTTTTATTTTGCATATTTTCACTCTGTATTTTTTCTTAGTGTATTTCAGACTTCTTTGTTCGCATAGGATTGCTTATGCTGTTTCTAAGTTTTAAATACAAATTTTTAGTGACTGAGAATAGGACTTGACTTGTAAATAAGGCCACAAACTTGGCTTCCAGGATCTTGTTTTTTCTTTCTTTTTTGTTGTAATATTTATAGTTGATTGACAGTATTGTGCTAGTTCCAGGTGTACACCTTCAGATTCCTTTCCATTATAGGTTATTTAAAGATATTGACTATAGTTCCCTGTGCTATAGACTAAATGCTCTTTGTTTATCTATTTTATATATAGTAGTGTGTATCTGTTAGTCCTCTATCCCTCCCCTTCCCCTTTGATAACCATAAATTTGTTTTCTATGTCTGTGAATCTGTTTCTGTTTTGTAAATAAGTTGATTTGTATTATTTTTTTTAGAAAGCCTGTTTTCTCTTAAAGAACCAGTAAAAATGTAATAGAATCTTGAGGCTTTTAAGGAATTCAAAAACTAAGATTTATTAATTAGACTATGGTAGTGGTGGTAGTTTAGTTGCTAAGTTGTTTCTGACTCTTGAGACCTCATGGAGTGTAGCCCACCAGGCTCCTTTCTCCATGGTATTTCCCAGGCAGAAAACTGGAGTGACTTACCATTTCCTTCCCCAAGGGATCTTCCTGACCCAGGGATTGAACCCCGGTCTTCTGCGCTGCTGGTGATTTCCTTTATTGCGGATGGATTCTTCACTGACTGAGCCACGAGGAAGCCCGTTATTTAAACTTAACTGTTTTTTGAAGTTTGAACTGAAATTAACACAGCAGATTTAGTTTGTTTTTTATAAAAGTTGACAGCATTCAAAATGACTTACAAAAAATTGCCTTTTCTACATTATATATATAATATATATAACATATATATATATTTATACATTATATATATCATATATAATGTATATATACAATATATATTATATAATTACATAGTTTATAATATACATTATGTGTGTGTGTGTATATATATATATATAGGCTGTGCCAGGTCTTAGTTGCAGCGTATGGGATCTAATTCACTGACCAGGGACCAAACCCATGCTTCTTGCATTTGGGAGCTTGGAGTGTTAGCCACAGGAACACCAAGGATGTCCCTATTTTTTAATATTTAAGAATAGAAAACATAAATTTACCTACACTGAGCATCAGATTTTAAGAAGACTGACTTTTCTGGAAAAAGTTATTTATTGACCATTTAACATTCACAAAATGGTCAGTGTATTAAACCCTCAGGATTCCTTGCTGGTTAGTTCCTAACAGAGCATACTGTCATATCTCTGGCTGCTATGCATCAGTAGTGTGCACTGAAGTGGAAAGTCTAATGTTCTGTGTTCTATGATAGGTAGGTAAATTTCAAATAGGAGGTTAAATTTACTCATGAGCATATGATTTGATTGAAGTTACTGCTACTTTGCATAGTATCTAGTTAGTAGAGTTTCCCAATCTCCCCTTGAACACTGTAGGTAGGTAATTCTGTGCTTATTAGATAAACAAATTTCCATATGATCATAGTGGGAAAAGATTGAAGGAAAGCACAAATGTTAAGTGATTTTCTTAAATTTGATTTCCTAAGGTTACACTGCGTAGCAGAAATGAAAGTAAATGCTGAGAATCTTGACATAGTTCTGTTTTCCAGGGTTTTTGTGATGTGTGTGTGTAACTCTTAACTGTTAAAAAGTTTCATCCTTCTTTATGAGGCCATATTAACTGCCTACTGATTGGTTTCCTAACAGTTCCAATAATAGATTTTAAATTGTGTTTTCTCTTAAACCATTATTGCTTCTGGTCAAATAAATTTTATATATCTGGATGGTATAAAGATTTAGAAGTATCCTATTAACACTCTTCTCTCATAGAATTTCTTCTCTTTGTGCTTATATCTTCAGCTTGCAGCTCTGAGAGTTAAGGTTCTATAATGTGGAATTTATCCTGTAATTGTTAAAATTATCTCTCACTGGTACTGCCCTGTCCTTCCTAAGCCATAATATCAGGTAAAAGAAAGTAGTGTTTTTATTTCAGGGCTTTATGGGGAGGAAAGATGAGAGTTTTTGTTTTTCCTTGTGTCTCCTCACTGTACTTATTATAATTTCCTCAAAATTGCTACAGAACAAGTAGCCTAAGATAGTTTGAACTGTCCTTCCCCCTCTTTCAGCAAAATGCCTGAATAAATCTGATATGCTACTTTTTGCTTTCTTAGAATATATATAATTGGTACATTTTCTGGTACAAAATTGCAGGTAGCACTGATTCATAATTCAAATTTAGCTGTTTAATTACGTTTCTGAAATTTTTACGTGTGAATTTGACAGTATGTTATTATTTGCAAATAAAAGCTGTTTTCAATAAGTTTTTCTTTTTTAGCTGTGCAATTTGAGATACATTTGAAACAGTAAAATTGTTTTTGTTTCATATCAAGAAATGGATGAAAAGAGGCTACTGGATCCAGGGTTGAAAGTTCGTAAAGGCCTCTGGGATCATGCTCTGAAGAACCAGCAGATGGAATGCCTGAGTGACTGAAGAAAATGGGTGCTAATGCATCTAGCTATCCTCATTCATGTTCCCCGAGGGTAGGGGGAAATTCTCAAGCCCAGCAGACTTTTATAGGTAACCATTTCAGCTTTTCTAACTTCATTTTCTTTTGTGGATATAAATAAGATTGTGTTTTCAGTGGTCTTTTTGGATGAAAAGAGGGTTGAGCTGTGGGAAAAGTTAATATATATAATAATTCTGTAGCATCCGTGTTTTTTCCTATGCAAATACACAGAAGTGTAAATCTGGCTTATATGATTCTTATCCTAACCGAGCTGCTGTAGCACAGTTGATCTTTGATTGTTTCTTGTGTCTTGTTTCATTTATCGTGCCCATAAAAATGTAGCATTTTTTTACAATGAATAATCTGCTCTATTTTTCCCAGTTTTATATTTAATATAAAAATGAGTTATTTAAACTTTTTAACCTTCCTTTTTGGAAACAAAACTCAGTTTTACTTGAATTGTTCAGAAATGTCTGTAAAAATTTTAGCACAAAATGTATGTTAAATTGAATGTTGAAAATGACTGTTAAGAAAAAAGAAATAAATTTTTACTTGTTTAATTTCCTTCTTAGGGACATCATCCTATTCTCAGCAAGGCTATGGTTGTGAATCAAAATTATATAGTCTTGACCATGGCCATGAAAAACCACAAGACAAAAAAAAGAGAACCTCTGGCCTTGCCACCCTCAAAAAGAAGTTTATCAAGCGTCGAAAATCTAATCGGTCTGCTGATCACGCCAAGCAGATGCGAGAACTCCTCTCTGGGTGGGATGTCCGAGATGTCAATGCGTTAGTGGAGGAGTATGAGGGAACTTCAGCCTTAAAGGAGCTTTCTTTGCAAGCCAGTGTGGCTAGACCAGAAGCCCGGACATTGCAGAAAGATATGGCCGATCTTTATGAGTACAAGTATTGTACTGATGTAGACTTAATATTTCAAGAAACTTGCTTTCCTGTTCATCGTGCCATTTTGGCGGCAAGATGTCCATTTTTTAAAACACTACTTTCCTCCTCACCTGAGTATGGGGCAGAGATCATCATGGACATCAATACAGCTGGTATAGATATGCCCATGTTTTCTGCTTTGCTCCACTACCTTTACACAGGAGAGTTTGGAATGGAGGACTCAAGGTTTCAAAATGTTGATATCCTCGTTCAGCTTAGGGAAGAATTTGGAACACCAAATTCCCTTGATGTAGATATGCGTGGACTCTTTGATTACATGTGCTATTATGATGTTGTCCTTAGTTTTTCTTCAGACTCTGAACTGGTTGAAGCTTTTGGTGGAAATCAGAACTGTTTAGATGAAGAGCTCAAAGCTCATAAGGCTATTATTTCAGCACGGTCCCCATTTTTTCGAAATTTATTACAAAGAAGGATACGGACTGGTGAAGAAATCACAGACCGAACTTTGAGGACTCCCACAAGAATTATATTAGATGAGTCCATTATACCAAAAAAATACGCAAAAGTGATATTACACTGTATGTATACCGACATGGTGGACCTGGCCGTTTTGCACTGTAGCCCCTCTGTGGGGAGTCTCAGTGAAGTTCAGGCTCTCGTCGCAGGGAAGCCAAACATGACCAGGGCAGAAGAAGCCATGGAGCTTTACCACATAGCGCTGTTCTTGGAATTTAACATGCTTGCACAAGGTAATGAAATTCTGATTTTTAATTTTAATCTTGATCTCTCGAATTGCATATTTGTCCTCCAGATTGAAAGCACAACCAGTATGTTCCATGATTTCAGTGTTTGGGATGTGACAGAGTCAGTTCTTTCAAATCTGTAGTTACGACATCTGAGACAGAATGAGCGTTAGTGTTAATGTGGCTCTTTATTTGGTATTAAAACCAAGCATTCAGAACTAGTGATTAAGAATAGATGAGACTTGAGGCTCTTTCTTCCCTGACGTAAGGTGATAGGTGTGAGAGTATGTAATTACCCAGCTACCACCTGTCTGCTCTTGAGCTTTGAGCCAGTCCTGTTTCCCAGATTTCAAGGCTATTCTTGGTCTGAGACTCCTTGGGTAACTTAGATCCTCATATATAAGGCACTCAGTGCCTTATTGACACAAATATTTAGAATAAGAATGGAAGTTCATTACAAAAATGAAGATAGTCTCATTTAGATACAGATTTATTTGAATCAAAGAATTGGACAAGGTTTCTGACTTAAATTTTTTAAATATTCTATATCTTTTCAAGTTCAGCTGTGCATTAAGCAACAGCTTATGGAGTATAAAGCACAGTTTGTTCTTAAACTCATATGCCTTCATCATTTAATTTAAACTAAAATTACTAAGTTAGAATGACACTTTTTTGTGTTATAGGCAAATAATTGCACTACAGCTACACTAGAAGAATATATCTTTTAGTGTATATCTGTGGTAAACATTAGAATCATAACATTTCAGAGCTGGAAAGAGACCTTCCGTGGGAGAGAAACGGAATTTGCTGTCTTGACAGAATGTACTCTTAGCTTTCTATGATCGTATATTAAAAGAAAACAAGCCTAAAAAAAATAAAAAAGAAAAGAAAACAAGCTATATGACATGAAGGTACTTCAGAAATTTAGCTGATGAGTGTTTGCTAAAAGAACACTAGAAGGTTGCAAATTAGCAGAGAATGTTAATGATTTGGGTAAAAGACATATATTTAAATAAGGAAAATAAGCATATTTTTCTAGTTTGGAAAAAAATCTGTATTGTATGGCTAAATCAACAAGTCAGTAGCACTTTGAAAAAAAATAAAAGCCCCAGTTAAATAACAGTGTCAGTGATAAAATGGGAAAGATTATTGGAAGACATTGATAAGCATGAGTGAAAAAAGTTGAGATTTCTATTACATAAAGAATCTTTTAAAATCTTATTTTACCATTTCCTGTGTAGTAATAGTAGTAATTTTGTTCTCTTGCCAAATCAAAATGTCATTAAAATATTTTCTTGCTAGTTCAAAACAAAAACTATGAGTAATAGTAGACCATTAGATGTCAGACTATAGGAAAATATGTTATCAAAAATAACCTAGCAGCTTGCCTTACCATTTTTTCATTCTGTAAAACCAGATTTGTCAGAAAATGCCTCTACAGAAAAACAGTTTGCAGTGTTACCATAAAGGTGTAATAATCTCTCTTTTCTCAAAATGGTTTTACTTTTGAAACATTTAAATAATAAGAAACCAAAGTGTATTGTGTATACTTTACTGTTTTTAAAACTCAGAAAGCATCCCTTGGTATAGTTTTTTTGTTTTGTTGTTAAATTTTTAACAGGAAGTAAAATGGTGAACTAGCTCTTGGGATCTTGGATAATATTTGATCTAGAGTGTTTTTTTCTTTTTTTATGTTGAGTTAAATTTTTATACGTATAATTTATCAGTAGCTAGAAATTTTTTTTTTTTGGAGCACATTTAGAGCTGTAAAACAACACTCCTTGTAGAACTATTAATTTTGGTTACTTAAAACAAGCAAGCAAATATTCCCTTAAATTTAGGTATACATAACTCTGTATTATTCAAATTTTTCATTATTCAAACTACAGAGTTTGAATTATTTGGTGTTTTGTTATTTTGCACACCATGTAGGCGTTACCTTTCTCCCATACCCATTAGACTGTTCATACTAGGGTTTATATATAACCAACCATAACCAGCATAGTTTTTACCCCATTCCCATGGGAAGGAGACTATTTAGTCACTTGAAGAGGGACTTTATACAATAAAGCTTAAGATCTCAGGCTCTGAAACCAGACAAACTGGATTTGAATTCTTTACTATCATGTTTTAACTTGTTTAACCTTAAAGTAAGTCATCTCTAAGCCCCTGTTTTCCCATTTGTGAAATAAGAATAGTAACACTATGAGGTAGGATTATGAGGATTAAAGAAAATGATATATATCAAGTGATCTGAACAGTGCCCAGGACATAGTAAGCATTCAATAAATGTTAACTGCTAAATGAAAATCATCACAACATGTATTATTCACTACCACAGTCTCTTCTAAAACTTTTTAAGTTTTAAAAAATAATTTTTTAATTATATTGACTAAACCCCATATTGAGACTAGTTTGCAAAATTTTTTTGAGTAATTACTGTTTTTAAGACTTTATTGTAATTTTATCACTAGCAAATTGGTGCATACCATTTATCAGACTGTTGTATCTGGCCATTTGTCACTCAAGTCTCAACTAGAGTTCTGCAAGCAGACTAAACCTATAATACTCTGAGGCATCTATTACGTGTAATGAACTAGCATCTCTCCACTGCATTTAGCGTGGTACTAGTTACATACCATTTTGGAGAGAATTAAGAAAATAGACCCCAAAATAATTTTCTGTCTTCTATGATTCAGTTGAAGACTCCCAGTTAAGAAAGCCTGTGAGACTAGACTGGCAGCTTGCATGTAGGATCATAGTGTTCTCATCCTTGTATCCCCAGTGCCTGGGGCATAATAGGCACTGAGTAAATGTTTATGAACTAATGACTGTTAACCTTTTTATTCCAAATTAGATTTGACTTTAAAAATTAAAGCCCAGTTTTAAAAGGAGACAAATTCTATCAAGGGAAGCTAGGACCTTGAGACAACATATGCTCTTGAAGGTGGAGAGGTGATTTAATAGTTTTAAGAACATCATAAAAAGAGGCAGTATAGGCAGACAGCCAGAGTAATTTGGCAAGTGGATAAAAGGGAGGATTCTTGGCTTACACTGAGACTGTGTTTTATTCAGAGAAGTAGGCAATCACTATTAGGGAGGTGAATTAACAGGTAATGAGGCTTCAGCTTACTCATGTGTGCTACCCTTTATTAAGCTCCCGTGAATACATGGTTTAACACTTTTTCATTCTGCTTCAGTGATCCACCTGTCTATTCTTGCATTGACATCGTTTGCAGCTAGGTGGCAAATCCTGACCTGCCTCCTCAATTCCCTTCTAAACAAGAGAGTCCTGAGGTTTATTTTCAAAGAAAGGAAAATAGATTCCACACCTGGAAGTAGCTATAAAGAAGGGTGGGGATAAGCACATAAAGAAGGGTGGGGATAAGCACAGGATTGGGGTCTGGAATTATGTGAGAGCCTACACACTCTCTGACCCTTCCCTGCTCTGCCCCAAACTGGACAGATACCAGATAATAAACTGGTGCTCCAGAAGTGGTCTATATGAAGAGTATATAGACCTGCTTTGGGGTTTCATGATGAAGTGATGCTCAGGAGTTATACAGTGAAAAAGCCGGTTTGCCTTCCAGATGTCCTACAGGAAGGCAGCAGTCAGCAAGCCTGCTTGTGAACAGACCTTCCAAATAGCTGTTAACTGCCTTAGTCTTCCATATAAAAACCCATCCAGGGTGCACTGGATGTTTGAGAAAAGCTTCCAGATTGAGACAACAATAAGAACACATGCTAGAGGAAACAGACAATGAAGGGAAAGAAGAAAACTTCAATAGACTCCAAATATCCTTACATAAAAGAATATATCGTTGAACAATGAGACATACATACGATGCTATAAAAGTGAAAAGAGGAGCTTTTAGAAATGAAAATTGTAGGAGGATTGGAAGGGAAAGTTGAAGGAATCTGGAAAGTAGAACAGATTAGCAAAGAGATGGACTACAGTGGAGACAAATAAGAAAACTGGAGTATTCATCCAGAAAATGTAGCATCTTAAATAATGGTTTTAGAAGTATATACTAGAGAAAATGGAAGAGAAGACAGTGTCTAAGGAGTAATATAATAAATATTGCCAAAGCTAAAGGGATTTCTTTATTTAAAAAATTTCATCCCCGTCACTAGAAAACACTAGAGAAAAAGAGGCGATTCTAAAATGAGGTGAAAGGGTAAGTTCCATACAAGAAATAGGAAACAGTGATAGTGAACTTCCCAGTAGCAACAACTGAATGTACCTTTAAAAAGATGATGGAAAATTGTTTTAAACACAAAGCCAAACAGTCAGTCAAATGTCAGGCTAAATAAATGGGGCATTTTCTAGTCATGCCTCGAAAAATTTAAACTCCCCTGCACCCCTACTCAGGAAGCTGCTAAGGATGTATTCCACTAGATGATGAAGTAAATGAGGAACCAGAAAGTGTGGGATCCGAAAAATGGGGTCTAACACCGTAAAGAAGGAAAGAAAATCCTAGGTACTAGCTGTGTGTTAGATATAGTGGGTATGTAGTCTAGGCTGGACGAGGAGGAGGAAGGTCTCCAAGAAGTAGATATCTTGGAAGAGACCAATTCCCTGAATGTTTGAAAATTAAGTGACAAGTGACATTGAAAGAAGTATTACAGATCTTTTGGTACACTTGTGAAAAATTAGCTGTTGCTAATTTATTAAAAGTGAAGCAAGTGAGAAAAGAGGAAATTAATAATTTCCAAGAAAAATTTAAAGTTAAATATGGAAGAAAACATAATTCTAGTATACAGCTTGGTTCAGCAGTAAGTAGTATTTAAGTAGTCATTATGATTTGAACACTGAATGTTGGTTTAATAAAATTTATAAAATTATAAAGAGATAAATATCAGAAAATAGATACTAAAAAATTGAGCATAGTTGCCTCTAAGAAGCAAGACTTAGTGAAGGAGAGATAAGGGCAGAAGGTTTTACTTTTAGGATACACTTTTTATGGCTATTAAGTATAAGACTTTCTAAATTATGAGCATATATT